AATGGTTTGGGTTGGAAGGGACCTTAAAGACCATCCAGTTCCAACCCCCTTATGGGCAGGGACTCATATATATAAATATATATATATATGCTCAAACACTGCAGTACTACTGCAGCTTTGGCAAATGTCTCCTCATTAAAAAGATGCAAGAATCCTGTTTGTACAGTTGAACCAAAACCTGGACTAGATGCTGTCTAGGAACAGAACAGCTCCCAGGCTGGCTGTTCTCCTGCCAAAGGGGAGACTCTCTGCATGGGCAGGAGCAGCAGCCAAGCTGGCACCAAAAAATCCCTAATGCAAGACAGGACCTTACTCTTCTTGTCCACACCTCTAAGTGTGAGAGGCAAACACAGCACAGGAATATGTAAGAATAATGTTGGGTTTGCTCTATTCCTCCTACACACAATACTAGGGAGGCTCTTCCTAAGTCTTGCATGGAGCTGGGATCCACACTTCCAGGAGGGTATGAGCAAACTTTCAGTTGCAATGTGATAATCTATGTTATTAAAAAGACACCAACAAAGCCTCCCTTTATTTCCAAGGGAGAAAAAAATTCATGGTCCCCATGAGGGTGAAAAAAGAAATAATGTAGATTTCTATCTGGTGGTAGAAGCCAGCAAAGTTCACGCTAGAAATAAGAGAAAACTCAGCCACTGGGTAATTACTGAAGATTATCGAGGATGGGAAGGTTTCTCTGTTGCTAAAAGGATTTAAATCAGAAACACATGGCTTTGTAAAACCACTAATTCACCCAGCCACTGAATACCAATGTAAGGCATAACAATGCTATGCTTGCCAAAAATATTCATAATTGCTATAGTCTAAACTGCAACAATAAAGTTAAAAGTTTGCTTTCCAGATCGGATTTGAAGTTTGCATAAAGAGCTGGAATAAAACAAACACATGACCTGCTGTTAAATATTGAAGTTACTTGTGTGTGTAACTTGTTAAAATATTTCAGATATTTTAAATGTCTCCCTAAATGTTTATTGCTCTTTTTTATGTATAGTCAGAGCATAGATATCTTTAATACAATGATAAAATAATGATGTTTGCAATAAAATGGCTATTTTTCACCTATCACTACTTGAAGAAAAGTTTGTACTAGTAAATTGTATAAGCTCTTGAGGTTAAAAAAATACAGGCAATTATATTACAGACCACTTTGCATGTTTTACTATAAGTACCAACCAAAGAGTTCTGCAGCAAAATGATGAAATTTCTTCTATTACCATCTCTGCTTTTGATCTTCAAACTAAACCTTGAATTTTGCCTTTTGATTTCTTAAACGAATAATTCACCAGTTTTGTCTAGTTTACATTTTAACTGGAATGTAAATAAGCAGCCATGCTATTCCAAAGACAATAACATTTCCATTTATCTGGAAAAATAAGAGATTTTATGGCTCAATAATGCAAATTTCAATGCCTCATTTAGAGAACAAAAGTGTTATTCTGGTAAAATATTGCAGAATTAACTGTGCTTTATGAGTATTGATATTATAACATTATTGTTTGTATGAGATATGCTCACAAAATAAAAACACATATCAAATCATGCAACACCTTCAAAACAGCTGCACACTCATGAGTACAACAACAGCAAATAGTTAATAACCCACTGGGTTTTAATCTGGAAAGACAGTCTACATCCTACCACACTAAAAACCCCCAAAAAACTATTCTTGAGTTAAAAGAGGTCTTCCAGTTTAATGGATTTCTTTATTCAAAGAGAGTTAGTTTGTGTATGTCAGCAAAGCAAATCTCCAAAGAAAACACACCCCCAACTTAGAGAATTCCTGAAGTCATGTTTCAAGGCAGAACTCTCCGAACATTTACAAACCTGAACAGGTGCAGTGTAGAAATCCAGTCACTGATGAACTATCAGTGACTTACAAAGGCTTTGGAATTAATGATAGTTGTAGGTTTTTAAATCCCTTTCTAATGGAAACTGCAATTATTAGGTTGGATAGCACTTGCTCTAATATGTTGCTTTACTTTTATTTGTCTTTTTAATTTGGCAGATATCACGATTCAAGAAAACATCAGCTAAAATAGTGAAAAATAACAAATAGGGTTATAACAGCCGAATCACAACCATCCTCTTTTTCTGATTGTTTGTCAAAGCTAAGAAAAAAGTGACATGGATTGGCATCCATTGAATTGCTCATGAAAATCCATATCTAATGACAGTTGTCTCTACCTCAGTCTTTCAGCTCTAAAACTAGTCATGCACTTTTCCAGTCCATTTGATCTGTGCTCATCCAGGAAAGCCACTACACACTTCACAATTTTTATCACAAAATCACGACTGGGTTTCAAGGAAAGAGAAAAACCATATACAGTCAGAAATTTCCACGAAGACTCTATGAACACTGTTTCCAAAGGCAAGTGCAACATTAATGTCTGAAGTCTCATGCTAAAATTAATTGTACAGGTTGGACAGATCAGTATTAAAGTATTTAATATAGAAAACCTGTAAACTTGATAAAAATTCAGTCATAGGATATCATTCCAGCCTTGTTCCAGCTAATACCTACTCCATTTATCTTTTCTTCCTTTTCTGTATAGATCTTTTATTTGTTCTGCTCAACACGCATCAACTCCAACACTGAATTATCACTATGCTTCGTAGCTGATTTTGAAGTTTTACTCCCTTCAGAAGATTCCAGACCAGAACTGCACATGAAGAAATGATGCCTTGTCTTCTACCCTCCTGATCTCTCCTGCTTCCAAAGAAAGGATTTATCTTCCTGTCAAAACTGCCTTTCCAGAGTGAGACTCTTCTTATCTCCATGATCCCAAGCCACTGAACCTCCTCAAGCAGGAGTGAAACATCTGCTCTCCCTCACATTTTGCCCCCTGCCAAAGTGGACTCTCCCTTCTCTGAAGCCTGTCACTTGCTGCAAGTGTTATAAATGGGACTAATTAGGATTCTAGTTGCCCATTAACTCTTTTATTATCCATGTGACAGTTATGATGAATGCATTATATTACTTACAAATGGTTGAGGTGGCACTTACACATGGCAGCATAAACTTTAGAGTCAGGGGAGAAATCATTTAGCACTAAGATAGACTAACTGTACCACGTAAATTGAAATCTTTTGAGTTCGACATAAGAAATAAAGGAGTTTGGCATTCCTAGAAGTGCAGGTGGACCAGTCACTTATATTTCAGCAGCAATATCTTTTGCATCACTGTAAATACCTTCAAAGATGGCTTTCTCTCACAGTCAGTACCGGGCACTGCACGTTGTCGTAAAATAGAAAAAAATCCTGCCTTTCTCCAACACAAAAGTCTTCTGCAACAGCAAAGTTGTCATTTCTCAGGATTAGCATTTCCTCATAAATAAGTTGCAAAATTCAGAAGGGAATAACCCCGGTGAACATAAATTACACAGAAATGGATTTGATTTGCATGTAATAATGGCTTCTTTTGGAATTAATTACAGATATGCTGGAGTATGGATTAACGTCCTGATTCAGCAATGGATGTGCATGTTTAACTGCTCTTCTATGCTAAGGCTAGGAGTAAATTGTCTAGACAATTAATTATCATTCTTCCCTCATTTGCCAAAAAAGCAGTAAAGCTTTGTGCAGAACGAGTTCTTGCATCCCTTCAGAGATCTTAAAAAAATCCATAGGCATAGTTGTCATTCTGTAATGCTCTCCATTAAATTGCACATTATTCACCATGAAATCTATCTGTGAAATCTGCCAATAGAGACTATTCATACTTCCTAAAAGCCTAAAAAGAAATCAACTTCTAAAAATAAAGCCCTGTTTAAAAAGCCCCACCTAACATCAATAATGATAGTTTTGAAAGGATCCTTGCCTAGAGAACACAACAGTACAATTTTTAAGCTGGTCTTTAATGGTTTGCTAAATGCTTATTCTTAAGTAAACAAACAGTAAGGGAAATGTACTTTGAAGGCAGAGATAAAAAAGCACATCTATTTACTTTAGGAGCCTGCAAAGCCCGTTCTTTCATTGCTCCACTGCGAAGAAGTGGTGCAACTATTTAAATTCAATCACCATGGGATTTCAAGGCACACAACAAAAAAAAAAGCTGCATATTATACCCTCTCCCCAATGGAAAGAGAGCGGTTCTGCTGAAATAAATGTAGCACCAGCAAATACTTTCCCAATATAGATATGTGAGGGAAGGAGGAAGCATAAAATAAAACTAAATCAATAGATCTTACAGACAAGACTTGATCAATCCATCCCAAAAGATTTATTTTCAGTACCCAGTTGAACAGAATCATAGCATCCCTTGGTTGGTCATGAAAAGGTTGTGGAGGGGAAGAGGAAGAAAATCCCAAATCATTATTTTGATGCTAACTGCCCAGTAACACACAAAAGGAGAACCAACTATTTAACCAAAACCTAAAATACTGACCAAAAATCCTCAAAAATATCAAACGTGGAGGTACTGTTGGTATGAATGGAGTATTTAAATATAGTCCTTTTTATAAGGTAATTTATACTGCAATAACATCCATTGCTTCTTTTCTGTATTTACAGTGCACTGTTAGAACAATTCAATTTCAAGCCAAAGTAATTTGCTTTATTCTCCATGGTTACTAAACAGCACTAGACCTCAGATATTTCCGATTGCAGAAAAAGTCATTAATTTTGGTTACTCTCTAAAAATACTTAGAAGAAAACAGAACTGATAGCCTACAGTAAATATTGAAATGAATCTAAATATCTTAATTAAAAGAATAAACCCTCCCAAATATCTCTGAGAGTGTATTCCCAAAGAACAAAAAGAACAAGCAGAAAATTCCCAGCCAAGCTGACCATTGCTCTCTGTAACTGCTTTCCTAAATGCTGCATGAGGTTTTTAAATAGATCAAGTGAAGCACATTACTAGCGTTAGTCCACAAAACTTCCTGCTCAGAAGCATCACATACTTTCTCCAAAGTCAATTCTGCAGTGGGAACATCCCTATTTCCCCAACAGAACACTGAGAATCAAATTTCAGGATCTCCTACCTCGATCAAAAAGTCTCCAGTTCTCAGGCCAGCTTGCCATGCTACTCCCCCTTCATCCACAGATTCCAAGTACTGCAAAGCAGGAAAGGCTGGAGTTGGGGTGAATTCTTCAATTGGTGTGTCAGCTTTAAAAATAAATACCACATTAAAAAAAGAAAGTTATGGAGTGCTTGCAAATACCACTTGACTACAGGCCTATTATTGGCCATTCAAATTTAGGGTTAAAAAATGGTGGGTGCTGAAAGTAAGAGGATCCCAGAGGAGATCAGGATGTGGGGACACAGTGAAATCTCTCTGCAATAGCAATCCACAGGTCTTCAATTCAGAGGGGAAAACACGTGCTTCTTTACTGACTCAAACCAGAACAAGGTGTATGAGGCAATAGCTGGATCCTGAGTATTCCAGGATATTCAGTATTAGTTCAAGTAACCCTTTCGTGCGCCTGGCAAAATGCTTGGAACTCTGGCAACATCCAACTAGAAATGAATTATGTACTGTAGCCAGAGGAGAGCTCCTGGCCAAACTGGGGGAGGTGATGGGTGGGGTGGGAAAGGATGTCAAAGATTAAACAGAATTATTCCTTCTCCATGTAGATGTGTGTAACAAAGAAGAGACCAAAATAAATCGCTTTTTAGGAAAAGAGGCACAGCTGGCCCTGTAACAACTCTCCCTCTCCCTGTGTCACGTACACAGACAGGCAGGAAAGTCCTTGGGTCTTTCACCTGAGGTGCCTTCCCTGCTCCAGAGAAAATCTGGGGAGAATTGCTGGGCTTACCCAGAGGGAGTAACCTCTGCTCAAAGCACAGATAACTCCCACCAGTGCTCAGAGAAAAGGTTGTGCTGTTGCCTTTCCTATTTACTACTCCAAAAATTTTATTTAGCTATGCCTAGAAAAGCTTTTACAACCCTGAAAATCTATGGTGGCCCTGATTTAGGGGTGGGGAACAGGGAGAGCAGAAACCATGTCCCAAGAATGAAGACATGGAACAATTTTCATGCTCAAGCAAGGCAAGGGAGAACCCATGTAAAATGAGGGGGAGCAAGAGATGGGGCATACCATCATATATATCTTTTTTAAATACAAAAGGAGCAAACTGCACTGAAAGTTAAAAAGCAGAGCATTAAATAGAATGCCTTTTTTAACTCTTAAGAATGCCATTATTATAGATTTTAGGCAACAGGAAAGTACCATGCAGTTTAACATATGAACAGCTTTAAAAATGAGCACACTACAGGCCATGCAACATACGTGCAGCTTCTGAAGATATAAAAAAAAGATCATATTTTCATACTAAAACTGCACCAATGTCACCTTGCAGAAGATCCACACCTAATTTAAAGAAAACATCACTCTCTTGTCTATTCCTACTCACAGACCTATTTAAATAGACTGACATATGAAATAAAGAAGCAGGTTTTATAAGCAAAGCAGGTTTCCCATAGTTAGGTAAACTGCATAACAAAACAGGTTAATGACAAATCATCACATACAGTAGCACAATAAAAATACAAAACTTTCTCCCCCCCCCAAACGATTATACAGTGCTTCTCCTATGTAAAAATGCAAACTGCTTCAAACAGAAGCCACTAAAATCCATCTGAGTAGTATAGCATACAGAGAATCCTGTTGTCTAGCAACCAAGTGCACCAAGAATAATTCCTGCTTATATTCCAAGATGTATAAATTTCTTCATGCCACTGCACATCACACACACACACACACACATACACACACAGAATCACATACCTTTTGCCCCTCTGAGCACAAATCCAAATCCTTCATTGTCTTTTTTCTGCAGGACCACTGCCTTTTCTTCTATTATGCAGTCACTGTAGAGAGAATTCCGAGGATAGCGACCATTATTACATCCCTTCATCACCACTGTAGTAGCTGCTCCTCCAGTGTGCAGGTTCATCATCATCACAGCCCGTTAATCAAATAATATTGCAGTAACCAAGCATGGGAAAATACAGAACAAATAGCAGCGAGGGGAAGACAAAGACCGAGCTTGGTGATAAAAGAGAACATGACAAAGCAACTTAAAAGGAATAAAAAAGGCAGAGAGGAAAAAGAAAGAAGAAGAAATCATGCATGGTGGTTTGTGTTCTATATGAATGACTGGATGAACATGTGATCATGTAATCTGTGGGCTAGCTAGGACTCTAAAAGGAAAAAAAGTAAGTGAACTGAACGACAGTATCATTAATAAACTCCTCAATCGTGGATGTACCAGATGCATCTTCTAGTGAAGCCAAAATGAAACCAACCAGAAGAAAAATGAGGCAGCATTTTAAATTTAAAGATAATAAATTATGATTTTCTATTAGCTAACTAAAAGGCACAAATATATTCTGAAAGCTATGCCTTGCATCAAAAGCCCTTTTTCAATCCTATTGAATGTTGCATGCTGCAAGAATCCCACATGATCATCTGACAGCCTACAATGCTAACAACGTGCAGCTGCCTTGGCGTCATCAAGCACAAATTTCCACAGCATCAAGAATCTGCATAATTTGAAATAGTAACAAGGCATGCACAAGCAGGAAAAACACATTTCTAAAGAATATTTCCTCTCCTCTGATAAACAATTAATATCATAAAACAAGGAGATGGTGTAAAGGACTATTTATGTAAGCAGTGTTCCCTTAAAGAGAAAGTAGCCTTAGGAATCTTGCTGTCATTGGCTGAGATAAAAGTAGATGGTAGATGAAGAAAATGCATAAAATACACATTAAAATGGGACCTTTCAGATACAGTGAATGATCTGTAAAAGCCCTACATTAGTACCTTTCATTAAACAAGAGGTTACTAAAAATAATCTCCAAGCAAAAAAGGCAGAAAAAAAATTTTGAAAGCTCTTTTAGGTATAAAATCATTGCACAAGTTGCATGACATTTTTAGCAATAAAGGCAGTGTCAGGGGTTAAGTTCATGGACTGTGAGCACTGCAAGCCATGCTGCTTTAAAATACCTACAGAACTATTTCAGGTACAAAGAAGTATGAGCAAGTTTTCTTTTCCTAATTTTTCACCACCCAACTCCTGCTACCACTGGTCTCATACAGAATCCAGTCTCTAAAGCAGATCATGCAACAAAAGACCAGATCTGCTTCAGAGCCATTAATAATCCCAGAGGGGAGGAGGAAACTAAATAAAGAAAAATTGGTGTGACCTTTTTATTTAAAGCTCTGAACAAAGAGAAGGATGATGATATCAGGACACCAATGGACAGCCTCCAAACGCCAGATTTTTCATGTGTCATAGACTATTGTTTTGGTGACTTTCCAACTCTGAGGGATGAAATTTCGCACTACTGCTAAAGCAATGATGTAAGTATGGCTTCCAAATCACAGAATATTTAACACCACACAAGAATTAAAACTACCACAATGGTGACTTTGTGAGCAAGAGATGATCTCCATAAGTACCAACAGCTCTTGCACACCGTCTCTCAACCTACTATTATTTACTGTATCATTCAGACATTACCTTTTCTAACAATGAATACCCCTGCTATGGAAAGGATATAACAAGAAAATGCCTGTTTATTGAGGAAGCCAAACACACTCCTCTTCAGGGATATCAGGGTGGGATGGAACATGCAACTCTCAGAGCCCATAGTGGAGCACCAAAGTTCTCCATCACCATCATGATGTTATAAGAGCTCACGGACCCTGCCAGTGTATTGGCTTATTTCCTTCATTCCACCACTCCCATTTTCCAGATGGGGCTCTGCCTTCATCCACTGAAGAGTCAACAGCAAAACTGGCTCCATCTTTTTTCTTAACACTCAGTGAAATTAATAGAACCATTTCCTTCAAGTTTCCTTATAACCAATCAATGCCTTAATAGAGGTTAGAAGGCAGATGAGAACCTGATCACAGCAAGGGTTTGGTTCAAAGAACACCCTACCCAAGTCCCACTCTCCCTTCAATTCATTAAGATACAGAATTAAAAGCTTATCAGCCCAATGCCTCCACAAACCTTGCTCTGATTCTTTCATCTCTGTTGACAAAACCAAATAAATCCATTCCTTAAAAAGCTGAAGGCTGAAGTTGCAAAAACAGTACTCAGAAAACTTGGGATCAATTCCCCTGATCAACATTAGGCTTCTACAATTAAAACAACAGGCATCTTAAGGTTCTTCCACACTTGGCTAATGAAATAAATGGGCATTTTCAAGTAATATTCAGATTAAAAGTATAGAAAACACCTGTGATTTTCATTTTAGTATAGCACATTTATTGCATAAACCACCCAGTCTAATACTCCAGTTTAGATATATAAAGTGAGAATACTAAACTCCCAAAATTTTACAAAGTTTTGAGTTTTACATGCAATGGGGAGGGAAGAGGGAAAAGAAGGAGAAACACAACATGATTCTTGGTAAGATAACACACAAACTGATCTCTATTATTTGACAAATATAGCTTACTAATATAGGGTATCAGTCGTACTACATAATGAAAACAACATCACAACCTGTGAAGTAAAAATATAGGTTTGAAAAAATTAGATGTGTAGCCATTTTTCCTTATTTGTGTACTAGGAGAAGGGGATCTGCAATAATCTTATGGCATGAGCAGTTAAAATTTTTAAAGCAATACCAGAAAGAAAATTGATTCTCCACCCCCCAGCCCCCCCCCGGTGCTGCAGAGTGAAGAACCAGCAGCAGAAAAAGGATGGAAAACCAATAAGCACATAAAAGTGAACTGAGTTTGCAACTTCCACACCCCTTCTCCCAGCAAACTCACTTTGAATTCCCAAGAGGAGGGGGCAGAAGAGGGGAAAAGTTTAACCCCTGGCTGTTTGCAATGTGCTTTTTGTTTGCTTTGCCATGAGGGTTTTATTGTCTCAGAGTCAGGGTGGATCCCTCCACTCAAGGTCTGCTCACAGTCTACCTTGTCTTGGCAGGCGAAGTGGTGCCAAATGTGAAAGTAGGTCAAAATTTCTCACCATGAGCCTTCTTGGCAGCAATTCTTTGATCATGAAGGTGTTGTAAATACTTAGCAGCAGAATTCAAACAAGGTAGAGCTACCAGTGACAAATGAAGGTGACATTACATTAGAAGCCTGTTCAAAGGGCTCAGCTCAAGCAAGAAGAAGAGGCATTTCTCCCCAGATGCTTTCAGTGCTTTGCACAGCTCTACATGAGGCTGAACAGTCCCTGCTGCTTGTGATATGCCAAATTTTAATAGGTAAAATCCTTAAAATCCATTTCTGTCCTATCTCAAACCAAAATTAAACAGAGCCGAGTTCTCAGAATATTACCAGTTCCATATTGTAGTAATAAAATGAGTAATTTTAAAATCAATAGCTCATTACTTAAATAGGGCATGCACTACTTTGACTTTGGGCTGTGTGAGACCAAGATTCATTGCATACAAAGCTAAATGAAAAAGACATCCTACCAAGTGCAGAATATTTCTGCATGAAGCACAATCATAAAAACTTGAGGTCAAAAAACCCCAGTCAATCTAAATCTTTGCTTCATTCAAACAGTACAGTAAATACTAGAAAATATACTTGTTCGTCAGTTCATGTAGTTTCTTTAACAATTTAAGAATTGTGCAGAGCTGTTACTGTTTCCATAATTTTACAGTCTTGCCAATGGAGAAAGGGAAATACAGAGATTTACCCGTGGTCAGACACATCAGTTTTGAACTCAGCACTGTTACATTCAACATAACAACCATCGTTTGTGTAGGCTTTTCAAAACAGCAAGGATTTCTGCTGACAGCCCATTAGGATGATATTTGAGGAAGGAAGTAGAAATGTCAGGTCCTTCATAAAGATCTGCATGAAGAAAACAAAGGTTGAAGCACAGGTTCCTGACGGAGGCAAACCCATGAAACCCAGCTTCCCTTTTCTCATCTACAATAACTACAGCCTCTCCTAAAGCATGACTTATCCCACAAGTTAAAATACTAAATTACAGAGATGGAAACTACCAGGACTACAGGATGTATTTAGGTAAGTTTGTATCAAGTGTATCATTGCTGATTTCCATCTGAAAAACAGCACATAGAGTACACTCCATTGAAAATTATCATCATTATCTGGAAACAAAGTGGCTATTTGGGATATTGTCAATCTCTCCCTAAGGCAGAGAAAAAATGAATTTAAATAGGAATTATTTTCCTGATTCTCGGCAATCATGCATCCCCTAGAAACATAATCTAAGTGGAACCTTTTCAGCTTCAACAAACTGGACCTCAGCCTTCCAAGGCAGGAGTTATTTGACAGTTTGCAAAAGAAAGTCAAATAACCAGAGTTACAACTGAGTGAACAGCCCCCTCAGCCCACAGCCCCTTCAGTCACATGGCTTGCTCTACCTCAAGCGAGAAGTTACTCTCTCCAAGATCACTTCTTTCAGTTGGCCAAGTAAACCTAAATCTCTTCATTAGCTCATTTTCATGCCCTCTCCTCTCCTCCTCTTTTTGAAAGATCTGCTGAATTCACAGCTACATCTTAGAACAATCAAATACTCTGCCCGGTGTGATAAAACAATATCTAAATCATTCCACAAATTTATATGCAGTGTCTAAATGCAGCCACACTAATTCCTTTCAGGCTAAGACAGCCACTTTATGGTGGTTATGTTAAAACCCATAAAAGGGAATTTGGGAAATCTGTTCAAGATGAAGAGCTCTTTTCTGCATGTTCTGACAGTCAATCCATGTTAAAGGCACATCAAAAATATTCTCTCCAAGTATTTCCTTTTTTTTTTTGCAAGTTACGTGACCTGGCACTGTATAAAACAGAAATTATGTCTACAGAGAATCTTACTATAAGATATAACAAACTTCCAGTGGGAAAACATTTGCTGTTA